TACATAAGTAGTAACTTAATACAGTCAATTATTCTAAAAATAATTGACTGTATTAAGTTACTACTTATGTAACAGAATCAGTAACATGAGAGCTGATGTTTATAGAACACAGTACGGGTTTTATTTGTATTTTTATTAGCAGCTAAAGCAAAACTATTTTCCCTTACCATAATTAAGGGCGTTGGATATTTCAATATCCCTTAGAGGACGCGACGAAGATGACGAGGAAGTAATTCTAAAAGAAGAAAATAAATTATTAAGAATCAAAATATTAAGTAGACACTTCTGCACATAGAATATATATTTATTAATAGGCACTCACAGACGCCGTTTAGCCCCCATGTCATTGTGGTCCGATCTGAAAAAATAATGTTGTTTTTTGATTTCTATCGTAATAGTTATATTCGAACAGTTAACAGTTCAAAGTCAAATACTATCAATATTTAATAAAGCAATAAAGGAAAAACTTACGCATTTCGCTTTCGGGACGTTGGAGTCCGATTAGGTGTGGAGGTTCCACTCCCTCCAACTTCAACGTGTCTGTAAAACATAAATAGTGTTAAAAATACGTTATTTTATGACCAGTTACGAAAAGTTTAGCTTCAAAATATGAATATAAGTAAAAACTTACAAAGCAGGTGAAGGAACTGAGCAAAGCTCCATATCAACTACTGCTGGTTGGGCCGCTGCAGCTCGGTCCTCCTGAGGGCTCAGCGGCTGGGTCGGGTGGTTGCCGGTGAGGAGGTCCATGGACGACCACAACGACACCGGCACGGGACTAAAAAGAAAGTTAAATTCAATGCCCTGCACGTGAATCGAGTAACAAAACCAACTTCGAAGTGCTTACCCTCGCCTTGCGGCAGGCAGTACTCGAGGTCGCCGCTGAGTCAGCGGCCGCTCTAGAGGCCTCCCCACCGGCAACTCCCCCACCATGCCACAGTAAACTCTAAAATATTAATGTTGCTAAAAAAAAACGAAGAAACTTGTTAGTTGTTAAATTTGTTATTACGGATCAACAGCAGAAGGCCTTTCGGTGTGGCCAGCACCGCTAGTGGGCCCACCACGCGTCCGCGCACCACCAGTGTGCGCATGCGCCCCTTCACCACCAGTGTGCGCATGCGCCCCTTCACCACCAGTGTGCGCATGCGCCCCTTCACCACCAGCGTACGCACCACGCCCACGCCCACGGCCACGAGCACGACCACGTCCACCTCTTTAAAGAAAAAAGCAAAAACAAAAAGCATGCAAACCAAAGAGAAAATAAACACAAAAATGCAAGAGATACGCGAGACATGAATGCAAAAGGTGCCCTTAGAGCTAATTTAGTAATGTCCATGCGTAACTTTTTTAACTTACTATAAGACGTCTAGAAAATATGTAAATATTATTTTTGGAGAAATTTTTTGAAAAAAAAATTGGTTGTCAAAGTTAAAAATAAAATTATTTATTTTTAAATTTATCATCGTGCAACAAACACTTTTTGTCCCAAACAATTTTGGGCTTGGACGCTCTTCAAATGCCTTTATCTCGGCCCAGGTTCGTCTAAGTCCAAAATTGTTCAGGAAAAAATTGTTTGTTTGGGTGCCCCCCCGACACGACGCAAACGAAGAAAAAAGAAAAAAGAAACAAAAATGCTGTATTTTTATCTTGGTACCTACTTGGTACTTCAAATACCTAAATATCTTTGCTCAGGTTCATCCAAGCCCAAAACTTTTTACGACAAAAAGTGTTAGTATATGCGCCCTCTACATGATGCAAACATAAAAAATAAAAAATTACAAAAATTCTGCTAAGTTTTTTCGCTCCCATATTTTATATTTATTTATTTTATTTATTTAATATTCTTTATTGCACACCATACAAAGCATACAGAAATGACATACTACAAAAAAGTATGCAACTTCCACTATATCTCCACAGTAACTAAATGTTTATGCAATTAAAAGTGATGTAACATTACATGCAAAATATTTAAAAATAACTTCAAACAGAAAATACAAAAGCGTATCTATAATTTCTAGCATGCCCGACATGCCGCCGTTATGACGTCATCAACTGCCAAAACCCTGTCTGTGCCCCTGCCGACTGACGGTAAAGAAATAACCTTCACGTATTTAGACCCAAAATTAAAGTTTTCAAAGCTAAATACACGTTTACCATTGTCATCCATTGCAAATTAATTACATTAGTAGCTTAAATTCTCCAAAACATTACGGTTTCATTCACTTTTTAGACCAAATATTGCAGAAATAAAAGTACGTTCATAGTTCGTTAGACGGCTATGTCGTTGGTTTGGCCTGGTTTTTACAATTAAATTAGCAAAATTATATGTTTCCCAGTAATAAAAATGTGAAAGTACTTACCTTTCCATGGTTTCTCCTTCAAATCACAACAAATTTGATTCAAGAAAACTTATCAAAGGCGTGACAAAACCGGAGTCGGTTGGTTTGACAGCGTCCAATTTGAAGTGCCGATATTTTTTTTTTTACGGAGCAAAGAGTAACAGTAAAGCAGTTTGACACTGAGTATATATTATTAGTCTATGATTTCAAGTGTCGCACCTAAAAAACGCATCGTAGTTCCGTCGTAAAGAGCGCGAAAACATAAACAGGAAACGATGCCGACTGCTGGTCGGCTCACAGACGCGCAAATAATTTGACGTGCCGACTGCTGGTCGACGCACAGACAAGGGGATAACATAAACTTAAAATTGGTAGATTGGTCAAAATATCCAAATTTAATAGATAATTTAATTAAAAATTATAGTTTTGATTATAGTAATCCTTAACAATGTTATACAGATTTAATAGAACTAGTTTAACAAGCCATGCATGAACCCACACCATCCAATCATTCTTCTAATCGAAATGTTAACATCAACTTGCAATCTCTTAAAATAAATAAAAAAAAATTCTCTACCTTAGGAAGGTAAGGAAATGAAAGCGCAGACCATTTAGCTAAAAGTATAGTTACAGCTGATATTGACGGCATAGCCGGTGTTGCAATATCACATACAGATTTATATTCAATTTTAAAGCAACAGTTAAAAGAAGAATGGAAAATGCAATGGAATGCTGTTTCAGAGGCAAGAAAAGGTCGTTGGTATGCATCAATTAATTCAGAATTAAGTATTCCTTGGTTTTCTCACAAAGAGAGATATCATAGCAGAAAATTTTATACAATAATGTGCAGACTGAGGAATTGTTCGGATTAATCTCAGCCGCCAAATTTCACGAACGCACATCGCGGCAGATCTCCCGATACCTTCCACACTATCTGGATGATTGGCGGTCCACCACTGTGCGATTTAGAAGGTGTTTTCTTCCTCGCACAACTTCCTTGTGGAATAGTTTACCACCAGCGATTTTTCCGGACCAATACGACTTAGGGACCTTCAAGAAAAGAACCTACTCCTTTTTAAAAGGCCGGCAACGCATCTGCAATTCCCCTGGTGTTGCGGTTGTTCATGGGCGGCGGTAGTCACTTACCATCAGGTGAGCCGCATGCTCGTTTGCCCCCTCTCCTATAAAAAAGAAATAATAAAAAAAATAAAGACTTTTTTTTTATGTTTTTGGCCACTATCGACTGAACGCTCATCTTTCCAGGATGAGAATAGTAGCATCTGCAACATGCAACTTCTGCGATACAGAAGCAGATCAGACTGCAGAACATATAATATCGTATTTAACTGCCCAGCGTACGCCATAGAAAGATCGCTAATCATTAAAAAACTTATACAAGTTTATGAAAACTCAGAAAGCGTCCCGCGTTCAACAAACAAGTTACAAGATGTTCTTAGGAATACTAAGACACATTTAGCAATTTGCAATTTTATTCATAATACTGTAAAAGAAATATGAAATATGGTATCCCTGTTTGTGAAAATATTGGATTGACCAATCTACATGGAGTGAAACTTGTGGCCTTTACGGGTTTTTGAAAATATGAAGAATTAAAGAAAATAAGACTTGGCTTCGGCCTTTATGGATTTTGAAGAGATGGAAAGAAGAAAAATAAGACTTGGTTCCGGCCTTTACACTTTAAAATTCTATATATTTAAAATAAAAAAGACAAGGCTGTATGGCTTAGTTCCTTTCCTGCTCCCTCGAGCGAATAACAAAAACCACAACAACAATTAGGGATGTTCCGACACCATGAAAGTATCGATACAAATCATGTTTCGATACTAATCATACAAATACTCCTAAAGTATCGATACTTACTGATATCGATACTTTTATTTTTTTTAATGAAATTAACGTAGCAATAGTTTTAAGCCCCACATCCACAACGATTTATTCTGCCCTGCTACTTTAGATAACATCTTATAGTTCCAACCAGTGAACTAACGAACTATTATGAACCAAACCTAAGTACCTAACCTACGAAATTAATTAGTGAAAAGTTGAAGATCTTACCTTTCGTTTGTCCCCTTATTTGCTTTTTTCTGTAATTTGCCTTTATCCACAGTAATTCCATGAGTTTTGGAATGCTTGAATGAATTAGACGTATTGCCACAATATTTCACCGACTTAAAACATTGTCTACACTTTGCAGTTATTTCGTTTGTTTTGGTAAAATATGTCCATATTAATGATTTTGGTGGTGCCATGATAATAATTGGAACAATAAGTCGATGACGACAATAATTTAAATTACTCGTAACGTATTCGTAAACAATCACTTGTGGAATCCTGGACACTGCTAGTGCTGACTGGACCAGTGTCAATTTTAGTGTAATGGCGGCTTTCTCTCTCGGACTCGGCTCGGATGAAGTCGGATGGGTTCGGTTCGCCTGATTCGATACCAAGTACTTTTGTTTCGATACCGAGTAAGTATCGCAAGATTGATTCGATGCTATTAGTACTTGGTATCGAATCAAAAGTATCAAGTACCTAAGTAGTAAGTACTCGTATTTACTAGTATCGGAATGTCCCTAAGAACAAATTCAAACTCGAAATAAATTCTTAGTAAGAGTACAAGGCAATTATTTAATTAACATGTATGACGATCAATCATCAAACGATGTGGTTTTAATAGAAGAGAACGAGGGCGCGAAAGCAACAGGTATTAGAACATAATTTTATTAGAGGGACTTCGTCAAAGTAGATATGTTAAGAGAGAGACACCAGCATCATCAATCCAGCACCACTGCTGGACATTTATTCTGCTTATAATTAGCTAGTTGTTGATTAAATCCACTTGAAGGTAATTAGACGTGCACCTAAGCTTGCATTTGCAGCACAAACTTATTACGATATTGTGTAACTATATCATTACATATTTTGCTGCTCTTATAATCAAACTATCGTTTAATCAATTATTTAACACATCAGTCAATTATGTAATTGATTACTTACATCGAATTCTCGGAAACTGATGTACCAATTTTAATGTTTTTTTTTTCATTGAATAAGTTATGCTTTAGGGGTTGTCATGTATAAATAGGGGTGGAGTTTTTATTATTTTGAATATAATTTACATGACATCCTTTAATTGTTACTACTTGCTGTTACTAAAAGTTTAAAAATAAACTTAATAAAAAGTAAATACAAACCTCTAAAACTGTAATGAATAACATGATTTCCATGTGTTAGCTTCTGAAGTCAGTGCTAAAACAAAGTGTATCTGATCTTTAACTCATCGATACACTGTATCACTGTAACTATAGTGATGTAGAATACCAAATGGCTGTAGTAACTTGTTCTATTGTTTTGTGGATACTTCTTGATACAAAACAAACTGTCAAACTTTCATGATTTTCTAAACTAAAACCCACAGATTTTCTAAACACGCTCTTGTTTCCAACTTTCATAAAGCTCCAAGGAACATGTGTTTGTATCACCTACAAATTATTGTATGGGGTCTGATCTGGATTTGTCCATGTGCAGTTTATAATGTTAAACTGTCCATGATACAGAAGAAAATTGTGCTGTGAGGGTCAGTCTAAAAAAACAAATCTGATTGTGGCAGTATAGTGCCTCTTTTATATTTATTTTTGACTAGTGATCTGCTCCGGATTTGCACAGGCAAACTATTAGTTTCTTACCTGGTAGAGCCACGCACAGCTATATTAGTAGTATAGTTGTAGCAGCCCTGTGCAGGGCATGCATGGGGAAAGAAGAAACGGCGGCCCATGTCCTATTGAAATGTTCGGAGGTCGCTACATACAGGGCTAAACATCTCGGCACGCCGGGATTACTCCCCGAAGTTCCATGCAACATCAAAGGACTGTTGAGCTTCTTCGGGGAGATCTCATGGCTCGAATCAGCATATTATTCCTGCCCACACGCAAAATACGCGCATAGACGTGGAGTTGCGGAAAACAGCCCATCGTAAACTAAACTAAAATAAAATAGTTGTAGCATGAATGGATCAGCTCGATCGGGGAAGGACCACGCTCTCACAGAATACCAGTGTAAAATATAGTGTTTTGTGTAGTGAGTGTAGAGAACCGGAGTCCCTTTTTACTGGAAATGAGGCATTCCATTTTAGTCCTCATGGGTGACAACTCATCTGCATTTGATTTGTAATGGAGAATAGATGTAGATGTCTATGGGCCGCAACAACCACTTACCATCAGGTGGACTGTGTGCTCGTTTGTCACTCTTATCCTATAAAAAAAATGATTTCTAGTTATTGATAAAAGTGCCACCTACCAGTTCCAATTGTGAACATAAACAGTCCAGCGACTCAAACACAAAAATTTTCATCAAAATTGATCAAGTGGTTTTCGAGTTTTAGCATGTCTAATATACAAAAAATTATTTTTATATATAGAGGTATTTTGCTTTTTAATTGCAGGTGGACCAATTAAAGAACTTTTCAAGAGCCTTATCACTAATGACTATAAACAAAACACTGTTTTGACTAATGCCCAAATAATTGACATTTTGCAGATAGAGTTTAACATAAACATCCAAAAAATCCATGAATTGGAAGTAGAAATATATGTAAATGTTATAAAAAAATACCTGAAGGATTGGCCTGAATGGGATGAATTTGAACAATCTGTAATTGACTTTAAATCTGAAAATAATAGTAAAGCAATAACAAGCATTTTAGAAGAAAAGTATATGAACCTGAAAAATTATTTGGGTAGCATGTTAGAAATAGCAAAACAATTATCACCAAATGTTGTTAAGAATATTCCTATGACAGGACAAATGTATAAAATAGAAAGTGTAAACAAGGAAAATGTTGTGATGGAAGTACAGGCAACAAGGAAGCAACTTAATCACCTAATATTAAGACATCCAATATGTAATAATTCAATTTTCAATGTGTACGAAAAACTTCCCAAATATTATGACTATCCAAATTCATTAACACTCGATTCTATTCTTAGTTGGTTAGGAATAGAGATTGAAATAAAGTTAAAGTGGGTTCAGGGCGTTGTAATAAATCTCAAATATGAGAACTGCCATAAGCTGAAACATACACTTGTTAATAAAATGTTAAAACTAGACTCTTATCAAAAAACACCATTGAATCAGCAGTGGGAAGTAAAATGTAAGAAAAAAAAATTTAACGGGATACCCAAAGATGATATTTTGAATTTATTTGAACAATGTATATATAACAATATATCAAACGATAAATACCTGAAATGGAAACCTGTTTTGGTGAGCATGCATAAGATTTTACGTAATATTACACAAAGTATGCCATCAAGTATTGGTGTTCCTGGAACTTACAGAAAATATTTAAGCAAATATGGTTATGTCAGGTTCTTGTATGAGAATGTGACAGATGAGGTGATAGATGCTGAAAAGTATGATTTGCAGTTACAGGAAGTTTTAAATCCAATGTGTCAATTACATATCGGATTCCTTCAAAGCCATGAAGAAGCTATTAAAATACACTGCTACTTCTGTCAGGTGACTTTTATAGGAGAAAATGTTGCATGGGAAATTGAGAATCATTTTAAGAGTCATATTGTTGAACCGGACTGGCAGTGTATAAATTGTGATAAAACTATTACCATGCCCCATTTGACAAGGGCAAACTGGAATCACACTTGTGAGCCTGCCTCTTTGTATCAGTTGCTGTCAACGAAGCAATAACAATATATTTAAGATTTTCTACAAAGACATTCTGGGGTGTAAAAGTGATAATGATTCTAAATGTTATTTACGAATTATCGTCATGTTTAAAAAAAAGACTGACCTTGTGGATGCAACAGGTAATCTATCCAATATGTGTATTAGGGATGGTACTTGTATATAATTCATAATGTAAGGCTTGACTGTTATACACTAAAAAATATTAAATAAATACCATAATAGAAGCACATTTATTTTTATTATTTATTTATATTTTTTTATTATTTTGGTTACCCGCGGTGAATAAAGAGAATCCACTTGGCTGGCCCGTGGGCCCGTAGGGCTGGCTCGAAGTGGCCACACCTAGTGGGCTTGGTGAGCCCACTTCGGATGTGTGTTAGTGGGCTGCTGCTAGAGGGGAGCCCTCTCCCCCTACCGCTGCAGCAGAGGTGGAGTTGTGGAGGATGAGGAGTGTTGGTATGGCGATGTGCCACTCGACCTATCCTCCGCGAAACTGACGGGGCCGCAACGGTGATGCGGTGGTGGTGGGGCTGCGGAGGGAGAGGAGTGTCGGTATTGCGAGGCGTCGCTCTCCGTACCCTCTGCAACTGAGTCTTGGTTGGCGGCGGAACCTAAGACCAGATCCGCCGCTAGGGTCGGGAAAGCTAGTGCTTCAAAGTGCACGTTTTTCCTGGCCCCATGGCCTCCGCGTATCGGACTCGGGGGGGGGGGAGTCCGTTTCGCAGTAGCAGTAAAAGGCCGTGGAGAAAGGCATGCCTTGTGTTCCTGATGCGCATTACCTGAGAAGGAAGGGAGAGGGGAGAAGTCCGAGGAGGGGCTGCCATGGGGTGGTTGGCGCTGGTGGGGCCGCGGATGTGTGTGAAACGTTTCCTTGGCCCTGCTAATATGCGGTAAAGGTGGAACACCATGTGGGGTTTTAGTCGGTGCGAGTCCAACATTTAACCCGTCCTTGCCACGAAATAAAAACAATGCAATAAGTACCTAAGCTAGACACATGATTATATTTTTGTCGTTTTGGCGCCGATAGCAGAAGTGAGTGTCCATGGAACTAATAATAAAGAGAGAACAGGGTGACAAAATATATCAATATAAATTTATAAACCCAGGGCTAACATTCTAATTATGTATCATTTTAATATCGTGCCATACAATATAATACAATAAATAAATAAATGTATTAATTAATACTGTCTTTGACGCAAGCTAAGTTATACTTAAAACAAAAATTAACGTAGATTATTTCGTAACTATAGAATGGGTTTTGTTCCGCGTTTCGCGATTGGGTATGGTTAATTTGAGAGGTTTAAAGATCCAAGGAGTAGAAAAAACTTGAGTAGGTAGCTAAAAAATAAAAATATTGTAAACAGAATTGAAGGGCACAGGGAAAAAAGGAGCTCATCGACAGTTTTAGGTTTTTGGAATGAACTATACTATACCATTTTACTTCGTTTTCTATGGCCAATCAGAGCACGTTATTTTAAAAACGATAAAAGGCGCTGATTTTGTGTAAAGTTAAGGTGAAACATATTCCCGCGAGATGGCGCTGAAGTCATAATTTTTTTAGTTTATTTGGGTTTTTGTGTAATTGTAACATTATTAAATCGTAGAAGTAGCAAACGCGATACTCGGACATTTTACTTTATTTTACTAGGTCATATCATTGCCTCAAAACCCACACAATTCAACACAAAGTCCGAAAATAACATCTGTCATTGAATATAGTGTCGTTTACACAGACAGACGTGCGTGAATTCTTAGTCCCTATATTTACGAAAATTGAACACTAGATGGCGTGAATGAAAAAAATGTTTTCCTTTTTTCTGTATGGGTAGGCAGAACTACAGAACGCCACCTGCTACGATATATATTATGTACGATTCATCATCTGCCTAGCCTTTTCCCCCAACTATATTGGGGTCGGCTCCCAGTCAAACCGGATTCAGCTGAATACCAGTATTTCACGACTATGTTATAAAAATAAAAGTTACATTTGTAGGCGTAAATAAACTATTTAATTCAATAATAATTTTGGGAAAAAATATATTTCAACACTAAGAACAATAAAAAGATAACAACAAATCTAAAACACGATTTAGTATACGATAAGAACCAGGGTGGTGAAAAAATATTACGGCAGAGATAGAACCCGGGTTGCTCGCGTACTGTGAAATTTACAGCGAGCGCTAACCACCTGAGCTATTACGATTCGTACATTTGTTTACCAATTTTTGAACATTATACTTACATTTATTTCTATGCTATTTTTATATAGCTTTATATTTATTACTAGCTGTTCCCCGCGACTTCGCCTGCGTGTTATTAGGGGTTTCAATTTTTTTGCGCGGGACCCTAATTCTTTTTCTAATTTTAACGTTACAAACAGACACTTCAATTTTATTTATTTGTATAGATTATAATATTTATAAACATTTTTATAATAAATAAATAATTATTAATCTAATAAACATAATAAGAATCTCCGGTGGAGGTTCGGTTGCCACCTAAGACGACTCGACCTGGCAACATACAACGCACGCCTCCTGAGGACTGACGAGAAGATCGTGGAGCTGAAAGAATAGATAAGACAAGTTACGCTGGCATATTATGGCGGCATAGGATTATCCGAGGTCCGAAGAGAGGGGGAGGACACGGTAATCCACAAATCCCGCAACTTGTTCTATCACCGGGAGGGCGACCATCTGTCCCAAGGAGGCGTCGGATTTATCGTCCACAAGTCTCTCGTTAACTACGTTGTAAAGATTGAGTGTGTGTCGACGAGGGTTGCGTACCTTATACTCAGAATCACCAAATGATATTCGCTGAAGGTCATACAGGTTTCCGCACCAACCTCGGCACATCCCGATCAGAAGGTGGAGGAAATGTATGAGGATATCTCTAGAGCCATGCGTTCCTCCAAAACCCACTACACAGTGTTAATGGGAGATTTCAATGCAAAACAAGAGAAAGCGGTGAGTTGAAAGTAGGGAAATTTGGAATAGGGCAACGGAACCCAAGGGGCCAGCAGCTGGCCGACTTCATGGAGAAAGAGGGACTCTTTATGATGAACTCTTTCTTCCAGAAGCGGCCCCACAGGAAGTGGACCTGGTCGAGCCCCGACGGTTCGACAAAAAATGGAATTGACTTCATTATGATGACCAGACGACAACTGTTCAGTGATGTCTCAGTGATCGCGAGGGTGAAAACTGGTAGCGATCACCGAATGGTTAGAGGCACACTGAAGTTGGAGAGGTCTCGTCTAATGAAGTCAACTCTCCGTCCCCCTCGTGCTCTAATCCAAAGTCCCGAAACCTTTCAGCTCGAGCTACGAAACCGTTTTCAGTTCCTAGAAAATTGCAATGCAGTGGACGATATGAATGACAAGCTCATGGAAACTGTCCGTGCGGTCGGAGCTAAGTTTTGCAAGACCCGCCGCAGGAGAACACAAAAACTCTCCGATCACACTCTTAATCTCATGGCTGTTAGACGGGAGATGAAGCTACACTCTTCAACAGATTTAACAGCATACAGGCAAGTGAATAGACAGATCTCCAAATGCATGCGGCGGGACTTACGCAACTTCAATACAGCTTATATTGAAGAAGCGATCGAGCGGAACCAAGGCTCCAAAGTCTTTGTCAGAGATCTGTCTGCCAGAAAGAGCCAACTGTCAAAGCTGAAGACCGAGTGTGGCAGCATCGTTTTCGAGACACCTGAGATTTCGAGTAAGATTGAGAGGTTCTATGGGCAGCTGTACACGTCATCGTTGGAGCCACACGAAAGTGTGAGTAACGATCCAAGAGCGAGTCTCATCCGACACTATTCCGAAGATATACCGGACTTCAGTCTGAGCGAGATTAAATTGGCTCTCCAGCACCTTAAAAACGGCAAGGCCCCAGGCGAGGATGGAATTACAGCGGAGCTTCTGAAAGCGGGTGGAAAACCGGTACTTGAAGTCCTTCAGAAGCTCTTTAATTCCGTCCTCCATGGTGGCGTTACACCAGAGGCGTGGAGCAGAAGTGCGGTGGTCTTGTTCTTCAAAAAAGGAGACAACGCTCTCTTGGAGAACTACAGACCGATTTCCCTTCTGAGCCGCGTCTACGTGCTGTTTTCGAGAGTCATTACGAATCGTCTCGCGCGGAAACTTGACGACTCCTAGCCTCCCGAACAAGCCAGTTTCCGAAAGGGCTTTATCAGCATAGACCACATACCCTTCGGCAAATTGTACAGAAGTCCGAAGAGTACAATTTGCCACTATGTCTGGCGTATGTGGACTATGAGAAAGCCTTTGATTCCGTAGAAATTTCGACGGTGCTGCAGTCCCTTCAGCGGTGCCAAGTTGACTGTCGGTATATCGAAGTGCTGAAGTGCTTGTACAGGAGGGCTTCGATGGCTATCCGAGTACAGAACCAGAGTACGAAACCTATCCAATTGCAGAGAGGTGTAAGACAGGGTTAACGTCATATCCCCGAAACTTCATTGCTGCATTGGAAGACGTTTTCAAGCTTCTGGACTGGAAAGGATGCGGTATTAACATCAATGGCGAGTACATCACTCACCTTCGATTTGCCGACGTTATAGTCCTTATGGCAGAATCGCTGGAGGACCTAAGCATTATGCTCAATTACCTCAATAGTGTCTCCCAACGGATAGGTCTTAAGATGAACGTGGACAAAATAAAAATCATGTTCAACGTCCATGTCACACCTATGGCGGTAGTTGTTGGGAGCACTAAGCTTAAAGTTGTTGACGAGTATGTTTACCTGGGACAAATAGTCCTACTAGGTAAGTCCAACTTCGACCGAGAGGTCAATCGACGGATTCAACTCGGCTGGGCAGCGTTCGGGAAACTACGACACATCTTCTCGTTAGACATACCTCAAAACCTGAAAACGAAATTGTACAACTAGTGCGTGTTGCCAGTGATGACTTACGGATCTGAGACGTGGTCCTTCACTGCTGGCCGTATGAGGAAGCTCAAGGTCGCTCAGCGAGCTATGGAG